GAGCGACAGAGATAGTATAAAAATAGCATTAGATAACATGAAGAAAAAAATATAATAAAATTAGAAAAATATTCGCTGACATGGGATATCAAGGAAAAGATTTAAAAGAATATGGAATAAAAATTGAAATTGTAAGAGGTATCTGTGAAGATTTTTGGGTGCATCAAGACACTCCACCGGAATTATTAGCCCAACGAGACCCAGGACATTTAAAGTGCAGCCCAAGGGGGGGGGCTTGTAGAAGACTTTTGATTGGATCAATAGGGATAGGAAGCTATCGAAAGAATGTGATTTACTTATAACATCTACTGAATATTTAATATATTTGGCCATAAGTAGGGCTGTACTAAAAGGGAAATATACTTGATTAATGGTTTGTGAACAACCTTAAACCATACAGCCCCACTATATAACTATATATTATCCTCGTTTAAGGAGTTATTATGTGACAAGTATTACATGGGTGCGCCAAAACAATATAGGAGGTGTGTAGAGTAATACAAAACAGTAAAGAGAGTATAGCAAAGCTTGCAGAGCACTATAATCTTAATCCGAAGGCTATTGTAAAATGGAAAAAACGCTCATTTGTTATAGACGCTGCAATTGGCCCAAAACATGGAAAATCAAAGATGTCAACTCAAGGGGAAGAAGCAATAATTGTCACTTTTCGCAAGCATATACTTCTTCCTTTGGACAATTGCCTTTATTCTTTGCGGGCCATAATTCCTTGTTTAACTCGGTCTAGTTTGCATCATTGTTTGCAAAGACACGGCATTAGCATACTGTCAGATGTTGAAGGAGAGATAAAAGCCAAAAAGAAATTCAAGCTATGTCCAATCGGTTATTTCCATATTGATATCGCAGAAGTTATAACAGAAGAAGGGAAGTTACAGCTAAACTTGCTTATGTTAAACTGCATAATAACGCTATAAAACCAATAGCTACTGAGTTTTTGCGTAATTTAATCAAAATTACCCTATGAGAATTAAGAACGTCATAAACACGCTTTTTAGCGCATATTTGATAGAGTTTTCAAAAATGACATTGAACATCGTCTTACTAAAATCTGACATCCCTCGACAAGTGGCCAAGTTGAGCGTATGAATAGGATGCTAAAAGATGTTGTAGTTCAAGGGTATTACTCTACTAATCTCATTAGTAACTCAAAGAGCATCTTTATAGCTTCGTTAATTGCAATG